AAGCTGGAAAGGTAAGAATAGAATAGAATAGAATAGAATAGAATAGAATAGAATAGAATAGAATAGAATAGAATAGAATAGAATGGGATGGGATGGGATGGGATGGGATGGGGTGGGGTGGGGTGGGATGGGATGGGATAGGATGGAATGGAATGGAGTGGAGTGGAGTGGAGTGGGGTGGGGTGGGGTGGGGTGGGATGGGATAGGATAGAATAGAATAGAATAGAATAGAATAGAATAGAATAGAATAGAATAGAACATGGATGAGAATGGAATGGAAAATTAGAATAGAATAGAATAGAATAGAATAGAATAGAATAGAATAGAATAGAATAGAATAGAATATGGATGAGAATGGAGTGGAAAATTAGAATAGAATAGAATAGAATAGAATAGAATAGAATAGAATAGAATATGGATGAGAATGGAATGGAAAATTAGAATAGAATAGAATAGAATAGAATAGAATAGAATAGAATAGAATAGAATAGAATAGAATAGAATAGAATAGAACGGGACGGGACGGGACGGGACAGAATAGAATAGAATAGAATAGGATGGGATGGGATGGGATGGGATGGGATGGGATGGGATGGGATAGAATCGAATCGAATCGAATCGAATAGAATAGGAATTTCTCCTTATTTCTAGGTTGAATCTCTCCATCAGTTTCCATCCGTTATTCCTTGTCTGGCCTTCCGGTACTTTGGAAAATAGGTTGACCCTCCTCTCCTCTCTGTGACAGCCCCTCAAATATTGGAACACTGCTATCATGTCACCCCTGGTCCTTCTCTTCACTAGACTAGCCATACCCAGTTCCTGCAACCGTTCTTCATATAGTTTAGCCTCCTGTCCCCTAAAATGGTAGATCTTTTTATTTCTGCATAAGTAACTAAGTAGATCTCCCCAAGGCGAGAAGATCCTTAGAAAAGGGAGAAATCATTTAACCTATAGTTCAAGGGTATGGAATAACAGAATAACGGAGTTGGAAGGGACCTTGGAGGTCTTCTAGTCCAACCCCCACGGTTTCTCCATCGGGATATTGTCGACTCCTTGATTGGAAATGTAGCTGAGCATATACTCCAGTGGTGGCGAACCTATGGCACGGGTGCCAGAGGCGGCACTCAGAGCCCTCTCTATGGGCACACGCGCCGTCGCCCCAGTCCTAGGCCTTCAGCTGGGTTTTATAAAACTTTTTCGCTTTAGGCCTCCGCCGCCGTGTGCAAAAAAAAAAAAAAGTTCAATCAGTCAATTTCAACTTCTCGTGGGGAAAAAAAAAGGCCTTGCAAAGTTTGAATTGATTGATTGAACTTTTTAGTCCCACCCAGTCTGCCATTGACACCGCAGCCAAGCCCACCCAATGGGCCACACCCACCCAATGGGCCAAGCCCACCCAATGGGCCATGCCCACCCAATAGACCACGCCCACCTAATGGGCCACACCCAGCCAATGGGCCACACCCAGCCGGCACTCGACGATGCATAAATGGGTTTTGGGTTGCAGTTTGGGCACTCAGTCTCTAAAAGGTTCGCCATCACTGATATACTCCAATCAAGGAACTGCCAAACAAGTTAACAGTAAACATGAGCAGAATGAGAGGAAATCCCACTCCCTACCAGCACTGATGGTGTTGCCTACTTTGGTAAGGAAACGTCTGCCAAAAAAGTCCCAACCAATCTCAGAGATAAAAAAATTGAACAGGTCAACCAATGAGCAAAGAGCACTCATAAAAGAAGGTAATATACCTTCTTATACCCAATTTGGGGGTTGGGGATCTGGAACTTCTTAGATACTAGCCAGCACAGTATTGAATAACTGGAGGTTGTATAAATATTTATAGAAGTATATACTGAGAAAGTTAGATAAACAGAAGTATTAATGTAAGAGAAAATTAATCTTACTGTATATAATACAGATAGGGAAATTTGGAGAGAGGAGTTGCTCGGACATTACCCCTGAATTGTATCTGAAGAGGGATGAGAGGGAAGAAAGGAGAGGAGAGAGAAAAGAGTAAAGGAGGAGAGAAGGAAGTAGGAAGGTTGGAGGAGAGAGTGGTGAAGGAAAGAGAAGAGGAGAGAAAGAAGAGGGAAGTAGGGAAGAAAGAGAAGAAAGGGAGAAAGAAGGTAGAGAAGAAGGAGTATGGATGCAGTGAAAGGGGAAATGGGCGAGCAACACCAAAAGTCATGTGTATGTATTTATTTCATTAAAAGTATCTTATATATAAGAATGTTAAAAGAATGTATATTAACATCTGATAAATATCACGGTATATGTATGGGGAGAGTTTGGGGAAAAAAATTAAAAAAAAAAAAAGATACTAGCCAGCATGCTCTTCTGGTCTATTCCATCTCTGCTGGCGATCTTCACTTCTTTAATACCATAACTCCCAGTCCTTTTTTCTATGTAATAATCTCTGCATTTACCATGGCATTTGGACCACGAGGACCGGAGTAGCCAACAGGCACACAGCGCACACCCGCTTCCCGGTACCGGCCACAGACATCAGCTGCCGCAGCCCGGGGCACTTCCAATACCAATCCGAGTTCCTCCGCGAAAAGCACATCCAAAGCTAAGATAAAGAAGAAAAGCAAAAATATAATGGGGAACCCTACTTGTCCTGTCTGCAAACCTCTTGGTCCACGTATGCCCACTGCCGTCTCAGTTTACTCACCCTGGACCCCTGGAGCCACAAGTTCGATGTGGGCACCACAATTCCCAGCAATGGCCATCTCCAACAAACAAGTCAGGAGACCCCCGTCGCTCACATCATGCCCAGAGGAAAGAAGAGAACCTGTGGGAGGAAAGAACATCCAAAGTCTTGATGGGACATTTTTTGATTACGGTGGAATACAACTCACTTAAAGAAGAGAATCAAAGGGAGGCGAGAATAGGGTGGACATGATAGCAGTGTTCCAATATCTCAGGGACTGCCACAAAGAAGAAGGTGGGTCAACCTATTTTCCAAAGCGCCTGAAGGCAGGACAAGAAGCAACGGATGGAAATTAATCAAGGAGAGAAGCAACCTAGAACTAAGGAGAAATTTCCTGACACTTAGAACAATTAATCAGTGGAACAACTCCAGAAGTTGTGAATACTCCAACACTGGAGGTTTTAAAGAAAAGATTGGACAGCCATTTTTTTCTGAAATGGTATAGAGTTTCCTACTTGAGCTGCGGGCTGGACTAGAAGAGCTCCAAGGTCCCTTCCAGCTCTGTTATTCTGTTGCAGGGCAAAAACCTTGTCCTGGATGTGGTTATCCCATAGTTCCCTTATTGGGGCAGCCATATCCACCATTCTTGGAGCTGCAGGTTTTATTTTCATTTTTAAGAATGATGTTTCTAGACCAGGGGTCCCCAATCCCCGGTCTGTGGACCGTCACCGGTCCACGGCATGCCAGAAACCGGGCCACGCAAACAAGCGAAGCTCCATCTGCGGGATGCAGGAAGCACACGAAATCACACCCCCTCCAGTACACGGAAAAAACTCCACGAAACTGGTCCCTGATGTCCCAAAATTTGGGAACTGCTGTTCTAGACCAGGGCTTTTCAACCAGTGGTACGGGTACCACCTGTGGTACATTGGCACCTGGCAGGTGGTACGTGACCATCCTAGAAAAGTGGTAGTGGGGGAGGGGAATGAGCTGAACCGGTGGTAGCACCGCACAAGCCTGAACGAGAGGTGGCTGGAGCTGCAGGGCTGTCAGGGCTCAGTGGAAGCGCCAAGATCAGTGCCGCTTTCCAGCTGATCAGCGCTTCTTTGGGGCTGTCAGGGCTCAGTGGAAGCACCAGGATCAGCGCCAGGCTCCAGCTGGAGCTCGGCGCTGATCCTGGTGCTTCTGCTGAGCCTTGAAGAAACACCAATCAGCTGGAAAGCAGCACTGATCCTGACGCTTCTGCTGAGCCCCAAAGAAGCGCCGATCAGCTGGAATGTTGCAGCATCTCCAGGGTCTTGTGATTTACATTCAGATTCTTGGCAACTGATTCATATTTATGACGGTCACAGTGTCCCAGGGTCTTGTGAAGTGACTAAAACCTGCTGCAACCACCCATCAGACGGGGGGAATAAAAACCAAACACCCCCCATCCCACCCCTGCTGCCAATCCTTAACAGAAATGCTCACAACAATGAAAACCTCGGACAGGAGGAAGAGCGCTGCTGGGCGCTGTCTTGCTCGGCTGTGGCTTGGGGGCCACTTTTTTCAGTGCCATTGTATCTTCGAACAGTCCCTAAGCAAACTGTTGTCAGTCGAGGACTACCTGTACTTTATCACTTTTTTCCTTTTTTTGGGGGGGGGGGTCATCAAGTTTTTGACACCTTGCTAGGCGACTGGTGGTACACGGATGTTGCCATATCCTAAAAGTGGTACAATGGGTGAAAAGGCTGAAAAGCCCTGTTCTAGACCATATGGATCTGCGTGAGCAAAGCCAGTGGAAGAACTGAAAGGTCAAATGCAATGCCCTTCACATCTTCTTACTCTTTGCCCCTAACAAAGACAAAGTCAAGTATCCAAAACATGCAGATATATGTAAATGTATCCCATTTACCCAGCTTATAATAGGCTAACTTGTCTCTTGTACAGAATGGGGAAGACCCAAGGAATTGTTTTTATGAAGACCAACCTCATATGCCCCCAAAGGCGGAGACCTTTTTGTCCAGCAGGATGTTACAAAAATAGGTTAGAAAGAGAAGAGAAGGATGCTGACCTCTTAACAGATCCTGAGTAACTTGGAAACATGAAACAAGGGTGGCAGGGTCATCCAGGTCTGGCGAAACGTCTCCCAGTTGGGAAAAGCACTGGGCCAGGACGCTACCCCCGAGACGATGCTTGTCAGGGCTCACAGCCACGTGAAGCAAGGCCCCTACAAAACACCAAGGCGGGAAGAAGAAATTTGTGAAACAGCAACGTTTGTGAAGTGGCCCAGAGTCACCTCTAGGCAAGATGGGTGGCATACAAATCTAATAAATACATAAATAAATAAAAATAAAACATCTCTCTCTGTGTTTTATCTTCTCTCTACACCAGTGTTTCTCAACCTCAGCCATTTCACGATGTGTGGACTTCGACTCCCAGAATTCCCCAGCCAGCAGGTTGGCTGAAGAATTCTGGGAGCTGAAGTCCATTGCACCTTAAAGTTGCAGAGGTTGAAAAAGACTGCTCTATACATTTGTGCGCCAGGGATCCACGTCAATGCCCCAACTGTGAAGTAACTTTTTTTTTTCTTAATTAGCTCTGCAGGTTCTCATCATGAATCCCTGGATAGGAGTGAACAACATGAGTGAACAGCCTGCAAGCTGTTCTATTTGAATCCCCCAGAGCTCTCCAGGAGGAACAGAGTGGAAATCCTCACACCTATGTTTATGGAAGAGGATGTGGGAAGATTTAAGGAAGAAAAATTCTGTTTTAAAAAAATTCTGTAATTCCCCCTAGTTTGGGTAGATCTTAAGGAGGCTTTTGTCCCCTAAAGCCCCTAAAATCACAGGTCTGAAAATTTTTAGCCCATCTATTATCATTTATCATTTTTTTGGATTTATATGAGTGAGTGAGTGAGTGAGTGAGTGAGTGAGTGAGTGAGTGAGTGAGTGAAAGAAAGAAAGAAAGAAAGAAGAAAGAAGAAAGAAAGAAAGAAAAAAGAAAGAAAGGAAGGAAGGAAGGAAGGAAGGAAGAGAAGGAAGGAAGGAAGGAGAAAGAAGAAAGAAAGAAAGAAAGAAAGAAAGAAAAAAAGAAAGGGAAGGAAGGAAGGAAGGAAGGAAGGAAGGAAGGAAGGAAGGAAGGAAGGAAGGAAGGAAGGAAGGAAGGATCAGGAAAGAAAGGAGAGAGGGAGGGAGGAAGGAAGGAAGGAAGTCTTCAAGTAGAACTGACAGAATATCACAGCAAAGTATCTATCAAAGTTCTTAATTCATCACATTGATTACCTTCAAATAACAATGTTTGACATTCTCAATACTCTTTACCTTACCTTTCCCATCAGGGCATTTGAGGTCAGGGGTGACGGTGGCTGTGATATCAGGACAGACAGCATAAGCTGAGATGACCAGCGTTCCTGGCGCAACAAAGAATGCAATCATGAAAACAAAGAATGAGGAGGAAAAACCCGTGAAGTTGAATAACTCCACCACCACAAACCCAGAGATGGGGAGCTGTGGGCCCAGCCTTAGCTCACGATGCCCCAGGCCTCACCAGGTGCCTTGACCGTTTCCGTGCCAACCCGGGCTGCCATGCTGAGCGAGTCCTTCCCGCCATCCACCGCCACGCCCAACTCTCCCATGACGGAGCACATGGCGCTGCAGGCTTCGGCCAGGGCCGCCCCCTCGCCTGGGAGCTTGGCTGGCCACATCCAGTTGCCGCTGCACTTCACATCCTGCATGGAGACAAGCAAATTGCTTGGTTGCACCGATGACTGCGGTGCAGAGAATAACCCGAGGCTCACAAAGGAAAGGAGAATTTGTAAACCAGGAGAATAGCCAGGGCGAACACGGCATTCAGAAAAAAAAAGAGAAGAGAAAACACTGAACAGGGGAAAATATAATATTTGGACTTCACAGTCTGCATTGAGATAAGCAAATTGCTTAGTTGTACCAGTGACTCTGGTGCAGAGATTAACCTGAAGTCTGGTTGACTCCGGTGCAGAGATTAACCCGAAACTCACAAAGGAAAAGAGAATTTGCAAACCAGGAAAACAGCCGGGAAGAACACGGCATTGAGAAAAAAGAAGAGAGAAAATACTAAACAAGGGAAAATATATTTGCACCTATGGGAAGCTGCCATTTTACTCCCCAGCAAGGAGATGCTTTCTTATGCCTTAATTAGAGCATTCTCTGCTTCACTAAATTAGACCAGAAAGCGTAAAATTCCTTTTATTGAGAGTGATTATTATAAGCCTCTTCTGAATATTATCTATCTTTTGTAGACATAAGATATGTTTCACTCCTCCGTGCTATAGTAAATGAGTCTGCCTATCTTTATCAGAGACCTCTTCCTTATTGCAAACTGGAAAAACTTAATGCTAATAACTGGGCATCCATGAAAAATTATGGTACGGCGATAGCACCTCCCAACTAGGACATTGCTGTGCAATTATCAAAATCAAAATCATTAAATTATAATTACTGCAGAAGTAAAGCTTTAGTCCTTTCTTTTGATCCAGAAACCTCATTATTTCAGTCTTCATTTTTAAACCACAATACATACTGTATATCAGCACTGAAGTATTTAGCTGGGTTTTTTAATCCTAAGGAAAGTTTCTGGAGAACAGAAAAACCTTCCCCTTGTGCTGTGAAATTTTGGTGGATCCTAAATATAGAAATTGATCAGTTCTGGGTTTTTTAGTTCTTTCAATTTGAGGATTTTTTTTCTCTTTCCCTTAATCAGCCAGCATGGTTACCTTAAGCCAGGGGTAGGCAACCTCGGCTCTTTTATGACTCATGGACTTCAACTCCCAGAATTCCTGAGTCAGCATAGCTGACTCAGGAATTCTGGGAGTTGAAGTCCATGAGTCATAAAAGAGCCGAGGTTGCCTATCCCTGCCTTAAGCAATTTGACACCCCTGAGCTACAGATATCTGGAACAAGTCACAATGACATCATTGCATGATGCCATGTAAGATGATGTCATGCTGTCTGTGATGTCACTTCCTCTCTTGGCCCCTCCCTGAGTCCCTGACAAACTGGAACACAAGCGAGGGTGGGGATGGGCACACATTTGCAAAGACTGAAGAAGGCGGGGCTTACCTTCAGATCGGTGACACGCGCAAAGACCAGATTGGTGAGGGCTTCTCCCACGGCCAATCGGGCGCCAGCTGAAGGATTTATAAGCCCTTTGATTGGCTGCTCCCCAAGAGCAGTGGCTCCTCCCACCGTTTCAAAGGGGGAAAGGGCCACCACGGCTACATCCGCCAGGGGTGTGTGGAGGGGACCGACGCACTGTTGCTGGGCCACCAGCCCTGTCACCGAACGATCAACCTATGGCAGGGAAAGAGGAAACAGAAAAAAAGAAAAAGAGATGGGATTAAATCAGCAGAAAAAAAAATCAATATATAAATCATTTCTGCATCTAGGTGTCATAGCAGGTTCCTAGGTGATTTAAAAAAAATTAACTAAGCAGATATAGAGTTGGTGGTCTGTGGACTGGAGACCACAAGGAAATCCTAAGGCTATAGGACAGTGATGGCAAACCTTTTAGAGACCGAGTGCCCGAACTGCAACCCAAAACCCACTTATGCATCGTCGGGTGCCGGGTGGGCGTGGCCCATTGGGTGGGCATGGCCCATTAGGTGGGCGTGGCTGCTGTGGTAACGGCAGACTGGGTGGGACTAAAAAGTTCAATCAATTCCAACTTTGCAAGATCTTTTTTTTTCCCACGAGAAGTTGAAATTGACTGATTGATTGAACCTTTTTTTTTTTTGGCACATGGCGGCGGAGGCCTAAAGCGAAAAGGTTTTATAAAACCCAGCTGAAGGCCTAGGACTGGGGCGACGGCGCGCGTGCCCACAGAGAGGGCTCTGAGTGCCGCCTCTGGCACCCGTGCCATAGGTTCGCCACCACTGCTATAGGCTACCCTGGGAAGTTGGAAAAGCATCTCAAAAAAAGGCAGAGCTCTTAAAGCTTCGCAAAGGGTCTATATAGGCAACCCAACCCAAAAAAGCCCAATCTAACCCAGAAAGTTACCTTATTTGTTAGGTAACGTTTACTAGCCACTGCCGGGAGCTTCAGGACCAGTTGAAGGGCGTCCAGCACGCTCAGGGCCTTAGGAAGATCCAGAGGGCGAAGGGCTCGGTTTATGCGGTTCAAAACAAATTCCTGGGGGGGGAATAAAAACATAATATTATTAACATTGTTGAAATATTCTGCTCTGTTCTTCTTTTTTAAGTTTATCAATTTTATTAGTTTATCAGGATATCAAAGGAAAATCAAACAATAATAGGAAATTAGGGGAAGGAAAAAGGAAAAAGAAAATTTGTGAGGGAAAAAGGGAAAAAGAAAAAAACAACAGTAGAAGATAGCAAGATTCCCGCCTCAACTTTTTACTTTTACATAGCAGCATATACTAGCCATTTCTATAACAAGAAACCTATCTAATCAGCAAAACTAGAATCAAAGTTCCTTTTTTCCCCATCACAAGCACCAAATCCAGGAGCAATTTCCAAATAGAAACAAAATTAGGCAGATTCTCTTCTTTGGATAAAGCAATCAATTTAACCATCTCTGCTTCCCCCCCCCCCTTGCTGTGGGAAATAATATATATTTCTGTTTGCACTTATCAATCAATACAGACTATCTTCATTTATGTTAACAAAATTCACTATATTCTTTCAGATTCCTTAACCTTAAAGGGGAAAAGAACCCATTTTTTAACATCCATTTTGAAACATTATTTTTTTCTTTAAAAACATTTCTAAAATCAGTGATAGTCCTCTCTGTTCCAACCTGGCAGGGCTGATGGTGAAGGAGCAGAGGAAGAGAAGTTCTGCAACATTTGGAGAGCCACAATCTGATCAGTCTCTCTGAATTAAAGGACGCAGCAGCAAATACAGGTAGTCTCGAGTTATGACCACAATCACAACCAGAATTTATGTTGCGAGGCAAGATAGCTAAGTAAATTGTGCCCGATTTTAGAATGTTTTTTGCCACGGTTGTTAAATAAATCACTGCAGTTATTAAGTGAATCATATGGTCATTAAGTGAATCCAGCTCCCCTCCCCACTGACTCTTTGGAAGCTGGCTGGGAAAAATCACAAAACCATGGTCATTAAATGCAAAGACCGGACATAAATCCCTTTTTTCAACTTCAAACGGTCGCTAAATGAATGCTTGTAAGTTATGTATGTTACTAACTTAACAGCTGTAGTGATTCAGTTGTGGCAAGAACGGTTGTAAAATGGGGCAAAACTCTCACTTAACAACTGTCTCGCTTAGCCACAGAAATTCTGAGCTCAATTGTGATCCTAAGACAAGGACTACCTATACATATGAACCCTTCTCCAAATTTAAGAAATTCCTGAACTTGCTCACAATTTGGCCTCAAGTAGGATTGTGTAACTCTGTGTACAGCATCCTTGGTGAATCTTAGTCGGGTTGTTTATTTGTTCATTCATGCCCTTCCATACCTTGCGTGGCATCTTCCCAAGGACCCATTCCAGGTTCAAATTAACAGGTGTGTCTCTTTCTCCTGTATCTCTTTTATCCACCTCTGCCGTACTTGCCGGAGATTTTGTGTCATCCACTAGCACAATCTGTCAAGAAGAAGAAGAGGCAACTTCAAAGCAGATTCACACATTAGGCTATGGGTAGGCAACCTTGGCTCTTTTATGACTCGTGGACTTCAACTCCCAGAATTCCTGAGCCAGCATAGCTGGCTCAGGAATTCTGGGAATTGAAGTCCACGAGTCATAAAAGAGCCAAGGTTGCCTACCCCTGCACTAGGCCAAGCTTTAGTTGCTTAAGTAGGATTTATTCAACAATCCATCCATGATTTGATCCTCTTAGGGCCCTGAAATTATTATTATTATTATTATTATTATTATTATTATTATTATTATTATTATTATTATTATTATTATTATTATTATTATTATTATTATTATTATTATTATTATTATTAGTTGGAAGGGACCTTGCAGGTCATCAAGTCCAACCCCCTGCTCAGGCAGGTAACCCTATACCATTTCGGACAAATGGCTGTCCAGTTTCTTCTTAAAAACTTCCCGTGTTGGCGCATTCACCGCTTCTGGAGGCAGGTTGTTCCACTGGTTAATTGTTCTAACCGTCAGGAAGTTTCTCCTTAGTTCTAGGTTGCTTCTCTCTTTGGTTAGTTTCCACCCGTTGCTTCTTGTCCTGCCTTCAGGTGCTTTGGAGAATAGCTTGACTCCCTCTTCTTTGGGGCAGCCCCTGAGATACTGGAAGGCTGCTATCATGTCCCCCCTCGTCCTTCTCTTCGTTAAACTAGACATACCCAATTCCAGCAACCGTTCCTCATATGTTTTAGCCTCCAGTCCCCTAATCATCTTTGTTGCTCTTCTCTGTACTCTTTCCAGAGTCTCAACATCTTTTTTACATCGTGGTGACCAAAACTGGATGCAGTATATAATGCAGGATTTACAAGCCACCACAGATGGGATTCCCCAATAAACTAAGCCGGGGTCTCCAAACTTGACGATTTTCAGTCTTGTGTATCAATGAAAAACTCAATCATCCAGGCCAAAAGTATAGGGAGTCCTCAACTTAAGACCAAAACTGAGCCCAAAATCTATGTTGTTAAGCGAGACAGAGGTTAGGTGTGACATTTACCACATTTTACGACTGTTCTTGCCCGATTTGTTAACTAAATCCCTGCAGTCGTTAAATTAGAAACACGGTTGTTAAGTGAATCTGGTTTCCCCATTCACTTTGCTTGTCAGAAGGTCGCAAAAGGGGATTACGTGACCCCAGGACACTGCAACCGTCATAAATGTGAATCAGTTGTCAAACATCCAAATATAAATCACGTGACCCTGGGGCTGCTGCAATGGTCATAATTGTGAAAAATGGTCAGAAGTCACTTTTTTTCAGTGCCGCTGTAACTTTGAACAGTCACTAAATGAACTATTGTAAGTCAAGGACTGCTTGTATCCCAAAAAAGGTTAACATCATGGCAACTGAAACACAGTTTGTTCTAACTGCCATGATTTTAACCTTTTTTTAAGATTATTTAAGTCCTGTGGACTTATAATAATAATAATAATAAAAGTTGGAAGGGACCTTGGAGGTCATCTAGTCCAACCCCCTGCTCAGGCAGGAAAACCCTATACCATTTCGGACAAATGGCTGTCCAGTCTCTTCTTAAAAACTTCCAGTGTTGGAGCATTCACCAGTTCTGGAGGCAGGTTGTTCCACTGGTTAATTGTTCTCACTGTCAGGAAGTTTCTCCTTAGTTCTAGGTTGCTTCTCTTCTTGATTAGTTTCCATCCGTTGCTTCTCGTCCTGCCTTCAGGCACCTTGGAGAATAGCTTGACTCCCTCTTCTTTGTGGCAGCCCCTGAGATATTGGAACACTGCTATCACGTCCCCCCTCGTCCTTCTCTTCATTAAACTTCAATTCCCAGAATTCCCCAGTCACCATTGTAATCAACTTTTGCGACTTTCTGACAGGTAAAATCAATGGGGAAGCCAGATTCACTTAACAACTGTGTTACTAACTTAACAACTGCAAGGATTCGCTTAACGACTGTGGCAAGAAAGGTCATAAAATGGGGTGAAATGTCACTTGGCAAATGTCTCGCTTAGCCACACAAATCTGGGGCTCAATTATGATCGTAAGTCGAGAACTACTTGTAGATTAATGTTCCTCCACCGTCAAGGCCGATTTCTCTCCTACCTTTCCGTCGCCCGTAATTTTGCCAACGAAGTCAACGGGGCATCTTTCGCGGGAAGCCAGGCGTTGCAGAAAATCAGCTCGGCGGGGTTGAAGCAGGAGAGCGTTCGATTCTTGGTACTCGGCCCCCCAGATTTCCAGAACACTCAAAGTGGGATCTCCCAGCTAGGAAACGAATGAGAGAGAGAGAGAGATTGAGATTTATTTTGGAAAAAAAAACCATTTCTTCAGTGCTGTGGTTGGAGTGGAAATATTTATAACATATATTGAGGATCAGGGTAGATCAGGGGTAGGCAACCTTGGCTCTTTTCTCAGGAATTCTGGGAGTTGAAGTCCACGAGTCATAAAAGAGCCAAGGTTGCCTACCCCTGACGTACACCAAGGGGTAGGCAACCTTGGCTCTTTTATGACTCGTGGACTTCAACTCCCAGAATTCCTCAGCCAGCCATGCTGAGGGGAAAGGGAGAGTTTCCAAGCTGAGCCATGCTGGCTCAGGAATTCTGGGAGTTGAAGTCCACAAGTCATAAAAGAGCCAAGGCTTGAGCAAAGACACACCTGGAAACGGCTCGCATAGATAGTAGCTCCTGCTGGTTCGCTCAGCTCCTTCAAGACATTCCCTAAATGAAAAGAGAAAGTTATTTAGAACACTCCGGAAACATCTCAAAATTCTTGGAGGGATCAGCTGTTGTAATTCTCCCAGGCATCTCTTGTAGAGACCAGAAATTCACAATGAGGGATGCGCAAACTTTAGGGCTCCAGGAATGTAAAACTCCGTATAAAACTGAAATGTTCTAGAATCTAGATCACATGGATCATGGATCCAGAGGTTTTACAGAAGTGAATCTTCAGAGAGGAGGAACTATCAGATTGCCCCCCAAAACAGCCAATTCAGCGCTTCTCAGAAGAATAGATTTTGCATATCTTGTCAATGACTTTTCATTCACTCGGTTGTAAATGTGTTTCTTTGGACTGCTATCGCGTATTAAATACAATGTCTGAGGGCCACACATCTCCCCCTCACCTTAGGCCCTAAGAACATCGGCCTGACGTGACACTGAGAGCGTGACATTTTAATTTTAATCACCCAAGGGAGGATAGGAAACTTAAGCTGGCGCTCTCCATCTCGTCTTATATTTCATCTCCCATCAGCTCCAGTGGCTAGGGCGCTGGCAATGGATGGTGAGAAATGTAGTCCAGTACCAGTTCAGTCTCTCCAAACAAGCTACGATCACTTCCAGGTAACCAAGCCATTACTGTTTGCATTGACACTGCTACTTACTTTAATAACTTTTATAACTGATGATTTTAATGCTTTTATGTTGTAAGCCACCCAGAATCATTGGACATGAAATGGGCAGCAAAAAAATTTCAATAAAATAAAATATAAAATAAAATAATAAAATAATAAAATAATAAAATAATAAAATAAAATAATAAAATAATAAAATAATAAAATAAAATAAAATATAAAATAAAATAAAATATAAAATAAAATATAAAATAAAGTAAAGCAAAATAAAATAAAATAATAAAATGAAATGAAATAAAATAATGAAATAAAATAAAATATAAAATAAAATATAAAATAATAAAATAAAATATAAAATATAAAATAAATATAAAATATAAAATAAAATAAAAAACAAAATAAAATAAGGTAAAATAAAATAAAATGAAATATAAAATAAAATATAAAATAAAATAAAATAAAGTAAAAATAAAATAAAATAAATAAAATAAAATAAAAAACAAAATAAAATAAGGCAAAATAAAATAATAAAATGAAATGAAATGAAATATAAAATAAAATAAAAAAATAAAATAAAGTAAAAATAAAATAAAATAAATAAAATAAAATAAAATAGAATAAATGAAATAAATGAAATAATAATAAAATAAAATAAAATAAAATAATAAAATAAAATAATAAAATAAAATAAAATAAAATAAAATAAAATAAAATAAAATAAAATAAAATAAAATAAAATAATAAAATAAAATAAAATAATAAAATAAAATAAATAAAATAAAATAAAATAAAATAAAATATAAAATAATAAAATATTCTGCGGTTTGTCCTTACAGGTAGTCCTTGAGTTATGACCATAATTGAGCCCTAAGACATGATGGTTGTAAAGCGGATCACCACATGACCGGACCTGATTTTACAACCTTTTTTTGCAGCGGTCATAAAGCAAATGCTGCCATCGTTAAGCGAATCCATGGTTTGCGATAGCTGGCGCAGCCCAGTGCCCTCTCTCCTCCCGTGCTCACCGTTGCCTCCGGCTCCCTGGTCGTGCAAACTGCAGATGGGGTTGTTCTCTCCACTCTCCACGCAACCCCGAAGCACCCGGTTCATCTTCTGTTCCATCTCGGCATCACCACGTTGCACGGCCCCAAAATCCAGCTCACTGGCGTTGTCACCTTGCACCTAAACGCGCAGGGGGGAGATTGTGGCAGAGCTACAATGGGAAGAGTGCTTAGCAATCACAATCACTAAGCAACCACAATCCAGCCTAGCAACTGTCTTGCTATAAGGGCTGCAGTCACTAAGCAGAAAATCCTGTGACTGCAATAGGCTTATGGCAGCACTTCCCTTCTGATTGTTAAATGAACGACCAAGGTCACTAAGTAAGACATCACATGACCACAACAGGCTTACGATATTACTTCCCCTTCGATCATTAAGCAAATCACTGCAGTCAATAAGCAAGACATGCAACCGTGATGGGCTTAGGACATTCATTTTCCCTTCGGTCATTAAGTAAATCACTGTGGTTATTAAATGAGGCAGCATATAATCTCAATAGGCTTATGACATCACTTCCCCTTCAGTCGAATTCGATTAGTGACGTCAACAATTCAGTCCGGAGTGGACTGGTACTACCCAAATACTTTAGTGAAGGGGAAACCAGTAATTCTCTTAGTGGTACCAGTGATTTACTCTGTAGTGTACTAGAGTTGTCCGAATATTTCAGTGAAGGGGAAGTCACCCCTTAGTGACGTCAGCAACTCGCTCAGTACTACACTGGTGAGCAGGCTTATGGTATCACTTCCCCTTAGGTCGTTAAGTGAATCACCATGGTCATTAAACGAGACGTCACACCACAGCCATTTGCGATTTTACTGCCGGCTTCACCACTGACTCTGCTTGCCAGGAGCCAAGTCTACAAATGCCCGGAGGATTGTGGGGGATTGCGGTTGCGAAGTTTGCTCACAAAGCAAGTTTTTTTTTTAAACAGGTCATAACTTCGAATGGTCGTTAAACGGGCCAGGCTGTGAGGGAGAGCTACCTGTAGCTTTGCCACCCAGGGTCCAGAAGTACAAGAAGGGCGATTAGCCTTTTCTTATCCCTGCTTTCTTAAACGAAAGTTGCTGAGAGACATCTAGAACAGAGGAGAAAAATCCTCTTCTCGTGTTACCTGGATGGAAGACGCAGCTCCTCCTCCCACACCAATTCGGTAGACGGGGCCTCCAACCTTCACCACATCCATCCCTGGAAAAGGAAAGGAAAAGCAGCGGTTAAACCACAGAACGACCTCAGAGCCGAAGAAGCTTCTTGGATAAGAAGCGAAACATCTTCAAAAAAAGTCCAGTTGCCTCTGGAAAAAGCAGCTTTTGGGACAACCACCACCGGGATGACTGAGAATCGCCATCGGCATTTAGCGATGCACTTTGGGACGAACGCCCTTCGAAGGGTGCGGGAGGATGAACGGATTTCCAGAAAACACTGCAGACCACAGGAACCATTTGCGCTTCAGTTTGAGAGGCAGACAACACGGACTCCTCCCCAACAGCCTGTCTTCAACGGCGAAGGCACCCGGGGCAGAAAACATCCTGCAGCCAAGAAGGCTCCACACCCATTAGCACAGGGGTAGTCAACCTTGGCTCTTTTATGACTCGTGGACTTCAATTCCCAGCTGGCTCAGGAATTCTGGGAGTTGAACTCCACGAGTCATAAAAAAGCCAAGGTTGACTACCCCTGCATTAGCACTACTCAGGTGATCTTGAGGACACAGGTAAACCTCCAAGTGGCCTCAACGCCTCTCTAAAACAGAGGTGTCAAACTCAATTTCATTGAGGGCCGCATCAGCATTGCGGTTGCCCTCGGGGGGGGGGACAGGTGGGTGTGGCCAGGGTGGGTGCGGCCTACTGGGTGGGCATGGCTAGCTCTACATCGTTTGCGGCAAGGGTGCCTGTGGGGGCTCAGCCTCTTGGCGCTGTGAGGAGAGCGCCCCACTGCCTTCCGAAACCTCTCCCCCGGAGCCCATCAAGCCGGATATGTGAAGTAGGCCAGGGCCATTGGCTGGCCACTTCCAGGCGATGGTGCATTCCTTCATTCCTCACAAAGGGTGACACCTCCCCAGCATGCACCCAGGGGACGGGGCCGACGCGGCAGGGGCTGGTTCCTCGCTGTTTCCAGACGGCCTTGTGGAGCTCAGACTGAATGCGTTTCAGCATAGATGGCCACCACAAAATTGTACATTGGTTCCTGGATGGCCTGGGCCAGGGCCAAGGCAGCGGGGGCCATTCCCTCACTGTTTCCAGGATGGCCACATGAAACCACTTTGCGGGCCGCATCCGGCCCCCCCGGGTCTTGTGTTTGACATGTCTGCTCTAAAAGAATGCAGCTGTCTGCAAGGAGTATAAATCCTTCCATTCCCCACCATCCAGCCAGAGCCGAAGAAGCTTCTTGGATGAGAAGCGAAACGTCTTCAAAGAAAAACAAGAAAAGTTCAGTTGCCTCCTGAAAAAAGCACCTTTGAGACAACCATGACCTGGATGGCTGAGAATCTCCATAGACACAGAGTGAATTTCTGACACTAGCTGGAATAGGGAGTCCTTGACTTACGAGCACAACTGAGCCCCCAATTTCTGTTACTAAGGAAAACATTTCTTATGTGAGTTTTGCCCCACTGTATCACTTTTCTCGCCACAGTTGTTAAATGAATCCCTGCAGTTATTAAGTTAGCAAGTGCATCTGGCTTCCCCATTGACTTTGCTTGTCAGGAGGTTGCAAAAGGGGACGTGACCCCAGGACACTGCAACCGTCATAAATATGAATCGGTTGTTTAGTTATGAGTTATTAGTTAGGAAAATTAACTGGATGAAATTTGAATTCTGTCAAAAGGATTGAAATGATTTAAGGCTGGACTTTATTTTGTCAGTTTAAAGAGATTGATTGATGGATGGATTAGATACGTATAGGATAGATTAATATTTTATTTTAAATAAGGGATATTCGTGGAAGAAGAAATAAATAAGATCTATGATAAAATTAAGGAATTAGAATATATTTGGAAGGGATACCCGAACTGACAATGTTTGTACTTAAAGTTATTTTGATTAAGGTAGTGTAAATTTATAAAGTTTTAAAAACAGGTTTAGGTTGAATAAATTTAAGCTAGAATTGGATTATTTTAAATAAAATACGTTACTTAAGGGAAAAAGAGAGGGAATATTTGATGTATTGATTGAATTATGTATATATGTTTTGTCTGCGGATGTTTGACCACCCTAACACCACGGTGTGTCTTGAGTACTTTGTTTTAAAAATCAAAAAACCAATAAAACTTGTCTTAAAAAAAATAAAAATAAATATGAATCGGTGGCCAAGTGTCTGGATTTTGACCATGGGGATGCTGCAATGGTCATTAAGTGTGAAAAATGATCGTACGTCACTTCTTTCAGCGCCGCTATAACTTTGAACGGTCACTAAACAAACTGCTGTAAGTTGAGTACTACTGTAGGATTTGGGATACAATACGCTACAATCCCGACGAATCCTTACCGGGCTGAGGCGTTTCCTTGCGCACATGTGTGTCTTCAATTGCTCCAATGCCTGCACTGAACATGATGGGCTTGATCCACTCATGCCGCTCACCGTCTCCCAGGCGCATTCCGAAAGAGCGTGCGAACCCTAGCCCAAGGAAGACGGTTGAATTTAAACAATTGCCCTTTCCCACGCAATCTTGCACATCCCTCTAGTTCAGTGTTTCCCAACCATGGCGGGTTGAAGGTGCATGGTCTTCAACTCCCAGAATCCCCAGCCAGCCCAACTTTGGTGGCTTGAAGATGCGTGAACTTCAACTCCCAGAATTCCCCAGCCAGCCCAACCATGGTGGCTTGAAGATGGGTGGACTTCAACTCCCAGAATCTCCAGCCAGCCCAACCTTGGTGGCTTGAAGATGTGTGGACTTCAACTCCCAGAATTCCCCAGCCAGCCCAACCTTGGTGGCTTGAAGATGTGTGGACTTCAAATGAATTCTGGGAGTTGAAGTCCATGCATCTTCAAGCCATCGAAGTTGACAAAAACTATTCTAGTTCCTCTGCCCCTTCCCATGCGTCAGCAGCCAGCATCTTTTCACTAAACAAATCACAACTTCAAACACACTTCCGTTTGGATCTCAGTAGCAAGCCACCATCAAGCTCACCTGCCAGCACAGGTTCCCCAAATTTGTTGCCGTAGTCCGAAGCTCCATCGCTGGCACCAATGGCTATTTCCACAGGCCGTGCAAAATTATCAGGGTACACGAAAGATGCATCTTCCCAAGGTAAGGTATATCCTAAAAGGCAGATGTAAAACAGAATTATTTCTTTTCCAGAGCTAAGTAACATTCAGATCACCTTTCTTGCACCTGTTTTTAATATTCCTTGCAGTCGTCTGGTTGTTAGTACTCTTTCTGAGAGTAGTTGAGTGGCCTCCAAGTGGCCTCAATTGACTCTCAGAGAGAGCACTAATGATTTGGTCCCGTTGCTGATGAAGATTGAACTAGAAGATCAAACCTCAAACTATGTATTGTGTTTATGCATTGTTTGATGTAACACTTGCTTATTTCCGTTATAATTGTGCATGTTTATATTTACCTTATAGTTATGCATGTTTTGATACCATATTTTTGCCTATTTAGTCACTGGTTAGTTAACAATGAGAATTGCATGCCTTAATGTTATGTCTTTTTTGCTTGTTTCAGTTAGTTAGTAGTGGAAATTTAAATTTCCAAGCGGGGAGTGTTCTGGACCATGTAGTTCTGTATGTTAGAATGTTGGCATTTATTGGGTTAAGTGCTGTCTCCTTAAGAGATGGCTTATGGGAAATGTAGTTTAGCTAGTCAGCTATCTCATGTTATCAGGTATGTGGGAGGAGTTACTGAGCTCAACACAGGATTTCCTGGACACAAGCCAGTTTGGAATCTCTTTGTCTCAGAAAGCATGGGGTCACCGGCATGTCTCCAATGACCCCAATTCACGATGTAGAAGTGGTATGGAAAAAGCATTAATTTCTCACCTATGGGAATGAACAGAGATGTATTGTCCAGAAGAAACCAACACAAATGCAAGTATTTCCTCTGAATACATATTTATCTGTTTTGCAATCATTTCTATTGAGTTTATCTGCCTGACCCAGTTTTACAACTGCAAGGAATATGAATCCTTCCATTCCCCACCACTCAGTCAGAATTGAAGAAGCTTCTTGGATGAGAAGCGAAACGCCTTCAAGGAAAAACAAAGGAAGTTCAGTTGCCTTTTGAAAAAGCACCTTTGAGACACTCACCTGGAATGTGTAAATTGCCAAAGCTGTATCCGGCAGTTCCAGCAATTACGTGAGCCCCACGACCTGTACACTGAACATCCCGGATTCTCCCACCGGTCCCAGTGGTGGCACCACTGAATGGAGCAACGCCTAGAAGGGAAAGAGAAATTGCAAACAATGAGACCTGCAAACGATAAAGGAGGATATTTGTAGCTCAGATTGGAAATGAGGGGTCCTTGGTGTTCTTGAGCTTGTTTTGTTTTCTTGCAGACGTTTCATTAGTCAAACTTGGTAACCTCATCAGTGCTAGTCACTAACACAGCACTGCATTGGCACTTGTGATGTTATCTAGTTTGGGTAATGAAACTCATGAGGTTACCTGGTTTGGGCAACAAAACAACCAAGCTGAGAGCATCAGGGACCCCACTGTCTTCCTCCTCCTCCTTTCCACAAACCCCACTCCCTTCTTTTACTGATGATGTTACCTAGTTTGGGTAATGAAAGTCTGCAAGAAAACAATAAGCTCAGAGAGCATCAGGGATCCGGTTGGATTACCTGGGGTATAGAATATCAGGGATACAGAATGCATGCAAAATGAAAGTCAGCATTGGGAGTGGTTTGCTCCCAGTGCCTTACATAGATGTGCCCCCGCCCCGCCCTCCAACCCCACCCCAACAGGCGAATCCCAGAAAGCTCTGCAGCTGGCAACAAGTGCGGGGTGCCTGCCAGTCCAACCCTGCTCTCACCTTGTGGGGGTCCATTTCCACACCGGTCCGCATGCATTGGCTTGACCTGTTCTCAAAACAGGCCCATTTCATCCCGTGCAAGGGGCTACCATCAGCCTGGCGGGACTTTATCCAGTATATAGGATCGTCCCAAGGTCTCAGCTCGGCATACTACCCCAGCACCAACGGAGCGGCTGAGCGGGCGAATGCCATGGTGGAACGTTATTTACGAAGCTACGTCTCCTACCAGCAAACAGACTGGGCCGATTTGTTGCCATTTGCAACAAATGTAAGGCACTGGGAGCAAACCACTCCCAGTGCTGACTTTCATTTGGCATGCATTAAATTCTTGCTGGTCACTTTGTTCCTGTGTTTCTGGAGTTTGTTGGCAGCAAACAGAGGACATTTGACAGTACCCCAGTCTTCCTCCTGCCCCTCCTCCCCATCCTCTACCTCCTCCTCCTCTTCCTCCTCCTCCTCCTCCTCTACCTCAGACATGTCAAACACAAGGCCCGGGGGCCGGATGCGGCCCGCGAAGTGGTTTCATGTGGCCCGCGAAGCCATCCTGGAAACAGTGAGGGAACGGCCCCCGCTGCCTTGGCCCTGGCCCACGCCGTCCGGGAGCCAATGTACAATTTTGTGGTGGCCATCTATGCTGAAACGCATTCAGTCTGAGCTCCACAAGGCCGTCTGGAAACAGCGAGGAACCAGCCCCTGCCGCGTCGGCCCTGTCCCCTGGGTGCATGCTGGGGAGGTGTCACCCTTTGTGAGGAATGAAGAAATGCACCATCGCCTGGAAATGGCCAGAAAATGGCCCTCGCCTACTTCACATATCCGGCTTGATGGGCTCTGCCCTGGTCCCACCCCTTTCTGCCAGAGACCCTCAGATCTGTCCCACTCCTGCCCAGGCCCCCACAGGAACCCTTGACACGAATGATGTAGATCTGGCCACGCCCAACCAGTAGGCCACACCCACTCCACCCACGCCCACCCAGTAGGCCGCACCCACCCTGGCCACACCCATCCGCCTCCCCCCCGATGGCAACCGCAATGCTGATGCGGCCCTCAATGAAATTGAGTTTGACACCCCTGCTCTACCTTCTCCTCCTTCACAAACCCCACTCCCTTCTCGTACTGATGATGTTACCTAGTTTTGGTAATGAAACGTCTGCAAGAAAACAACCAAGCTGAGAGAGCACCAGGAACCCCACAGTCTCCTCCTCCAACCACAATTGAGCTCTCAAAATTTCTACTGCCAGGCAGGAGAGTCATTCAGTGAGTTTTGCCCCCATTTTACGACCTTCCTTGCCGCAGTTGTTAAACGAATCACTGCAGTTGTTAAATTAGTAACCGGGTTGTTAAGTGAATCTGGCTTCCCCATTGACCTTGTAACTTCAAATGGCTACTAAGGGACCACTCGTAAGTTGAAGACAATCCGTCTAGCCAAGGGCAGAAAGAACGAAAGCCTAAACCAGTGGTGGTGAACCTATGGCATGCGTGCCAGAGGTGGCACTCAGAGCCCTCTTTGTGGGCATGCGCGCCTTGCCCCAGAGATGGCAACTGTCTCTCTTCAACCAGCCGTCCGCTAACTCGCCGAGGTCCCACGTGGCCGGATGCATCCCAGCACGGCTAGTTTCCCTCCCCCCCCCTCCCGTCCCATCCCTCCTGGTCTCGCATGCTCTCCTTTTCCTGGGCAGGACCCACTGCATCGCCTCCTCAGCTGTTGGCCGGCCGTCCAGCTCAGAAGCAGCTTCTCTGAACTGGCAGCGGGCTGCGGAGCCCCAGAGTGCACCGGTCGAGGGGCCGGCAGGCTGTGGCTGCTGACGGACACTGTCGGCCCCCATGCACTCGCTGGCCTCTGTTTGCGCGGGCCGATGGTGTCAGGCAGAAGCCACCCCAGCCCCTGCCTCGCCTTGCCCTGCAACAATGGCACCCCAACTCTGCCTCGCCTCACCCCGCAGGACGAGCCTCCTGCCCACCGCCCCACCTGCCAGAGATCCCCTGGATCTACCCCAACCCTGCCCGGCCCCCACAGGCATCACTCCCCACGAGCAACATCAAGGTGACCATGCCCACCTTGGCCGCACCCACCCAGTCTGCCATGACCACCACAGCCACGCCCACCCAGTGGGCCACGCCCATCTGGCACCCGGCGATAAATAAGTGGGTTTTGGGTTGCAATTTGGGCACTTGGTCTCTAAAAGGTTCACCATCACTGGCCTAAACCAAGTTATCTTCCAGCGTAACACAATCTGCAAACGCAGCTGAACTCCAGGCGAGTTAGGTGGCATACAAATTTAGTTAATAAATACATTTTAAAAAATCTTGCTTGCCTAAGATAATAATATTTTTAGGGGCTTACAGCCTTCAGTTCTTTTTTTTTTTCCCCTATGCATGTATCTGTGGCTTGCTTTGAAGCTGCAAATGATTTACAGAGCCAGTAGGACAAAAGTAAAGAATGCAACTTTTAAAACATGCTTCAAATTTTTCTGCCTCCTAGTCACCCTTGGTTTCTCTGTTCAACCAACCATGTTTATCAGGACGGGAGGTCCCTGCTGAGCTGTGTAATTTCGGTAGCAATGCGAATAACAGAACAACAGAGTTGGAAGGGACCTTGGAGGTCTTCTAGTCCAACCCTCTGCTCAGGCAGGAAACCCTATACCAATTCAGACAAATGTTTGTCCAATTTCTTCTTAAAAACCTGCAGTGTTGGAGCACCCGCAACCTCTGAAGGTAAGCCATTCCTCTGGCTAATTATTCTTACTGTCAGGAAATGTCTCCTTAGTTCTAGGTTGGTTCTCTCCTTGATTAGTTTCCATCCATGGCTTCTTGTCCTGCCTTTACATGCTTTGGAGAATAAATTGGTTCCCTCTTCTTTGTGGCAACCCCTGAGATATTGGAAAACTGCTGTCATGACACCCCTAGTCCTTCTTTTCATTAAACTAGACCAGGGGTAGGCAACCCAAAACACTCAAAGAGCCACTTGGACCCGTTTCCCACCGAAAACAAAACACTGGGAGCCGCAAAACCCTTTTGATATCTAAAATGAAGTTCGGCTCTTTTATGACTCATGGACTTCAACTCTCAGAATTCTCCTCGGAGAACACCGTAAGTCCACTTTCTTTTTTACACACAAACACACACACACACACACATCCACTCTCTTTTTTACACACAAACACACACACACACACAGAGAGAGAGAGNAGCTTAAGCTAATCACTGCAGTTGTTAAGTCAGGCCTCACCTGACCATGATGGGTTTATGAAATCACTTCCCCTTTGGTCATTAAGAGAATCACCATGGTCACTAAATGAGACATCACATGATCTCAACAGGCTTATAAAGTCACTTCCCCTTCAGTGGGGAATCACTGCAGTCGTTGAGCGAGTCATGATGTGACCACCGCAGGCTTATGGTATCACTTCCCCTTAGGTCGTTAAGTGAATCACCATGGTCATTAAACGAGATGTCACACCATAGCCATTTGCGATTTTACTGCCGGCTTCACCACCGACTCTGCTTCCAGAAGCCAGTTATAAAGTCTACAAATGCCCGGAGGATTGTGGGGGATTGCTGTTGCGAAGTTTGCTCACAAAGCAAGTTTTTTTTTTAAACAAGTCATAACTTCGAATGGTCGTTAAATGGGCCAGGCTGTGAGGGAGGGCTACCTGTAGGTTTGCCACCCAGAGTCCAGAAGTACAAGAAGGGTGGTTAGCCTCTTCTTCTTATCCCTGCTTTCTTAAACCAAAGTTGCTGAGAAACATCTAGTACAGAGGAGAAAAGTCCTCTTCTCATGTTACCTGGATGGAAGACGCAGCTCCTCCTCCCACACCAATTCGGTAGACGGGGCCTCCAACCTTCACCACATCCATCCCTGGAAAAGAAGAGGAAAAGCAGCGGTTGAACCACAGAACGAACTCAGAGCCGAAGAAGCTTCTTGGATGAGAAGCGAAACATCTTCAAAGAAAGTCCAGTTGCCTCTGGAAAAAGCAGCTTTTGGGACAACCACCACTGGGATGACTGAGAATCGCCATCGGCATTTAGCGATGCACTTTGGGACGAATGCCCTTCGAAGGGTGCGGGAAGATGAATGGATTTCCAGAAAACACTGCAGACGATAGGAACCATTTGCGCTTCAGTTTGAGAGGCAGACAACACGGACTCATCCCCAACAGCCTGCGTCTGTCTTCAACGATGAAGGGACACAGGGCAGAAAACATCCTGCAGCCAAGAAGGCTCCACACCCATTAGCACCACTCAGGTGATCTTGAGGACACAGGTAAACCTCCAAGTGGCCTCAACGACTCTCTAAAACAGGGGTGTCAAACTCAATTTCATTGAGGGCCACATCAGCACTGCGGTTGCCCTTGGGGGGGGCAGGTGGGTGTGGCCAGGGTGGGTGCGGCCTACTGGGTGGATGTGGATGGAATGGGTGTGGCCTACTGGGTGGGTGTGCCTGTGGGGGCTCAGCCTCTTGGTGCTGTGAGGAGAGCGCCCCGCTGCCTGCCGAAACCTCTCCCCCGGAGCCCATCAAGCCGGATATGTGAAGTAGGCCACGGCCATTTGCTGGCCACTTCCAGGCGATGGTGCATTCCTTCATTCCTCACAAAGGGTGACACCTCCCCAGGGGATGGGGCCGACGCGACAGGGGCTGGTTCCTCGCTGTTTCCAGACGGCCTTGTGCAGCTAAGACTGAATGCGTTTCAGCATAGATGGCCACCACAAAATTGTACATCGGCTCCCGGACGGCGTGGGCCAGGGCCAAGGCAGCGGGGGCCGTTCCCTCACTGTTTCCAGGATGGCCACATGAAACCACTTTGCGGGCCGCATCCGGCCCCCCGGGTCTTGTGTTTGACATGTCTGCTCTAAAAGAATGCAGCTGTCTGCAAGGAGTATAAATCCTTCCATTCCCCACCATCCAGCCAGAGCCAAAGAAGCTTCTAGGATGAGAAGCGAAATGTCTTCAAAGAAAAACAAGAAAAGTCCAGTTGCCTCCTGAAAAAAGCACACCTTTGAGACAACCATGACCTGGATAGCTGAGAATCTCCATAGTCACAGAGTGAATTTCTGACACTAGCTGGAATAGGGAGTCCTTGACTTGCGAGCACAATTGAGCCCCCAATTTCTGTTACTAAGGAAAACATTTGTTACGTGAGTTTTGCCCCACTGTATCACTTTTCTTGCCACAGTTGTTAAATGAATCATTGCAGTTATTAAGTTAGCAAGTGCATCTGGCTTCCCCATTGACTTTGCTTGTCAGGAGGTTGCAAAAGGGGACCACGTGACCCCAGGACACTGCAACCGTCATAAATATGAATCGGTTGTTTAGTTATGAGTTATTAGTTAGGAAAATTAACTGGATGAAATTTGAATTCTGTCAAAAGGATTGAAATGATTTAAGGTTGGACTTTATTTTGTCAGTTTAAAGAGATTGATTGATGGATGGATTAGATACGTATAGGATAGATTAATATTTTATTTTAAATAAGGGATATTCGTGGAAGAAGAAATAAATAAGATCTATGATAAAATTAAGGAATTAGAATATATTTGGAAGGGATACCCGAACTGACAATGTTTGTACTTAAAGTTATTTTGATTAAGGTAGTGTAAATTTATAAAGCTTTAAATACAGGTTCAGGTTGAATAAATTTAAGCTAGAATTGGATTATTTTAAATAAAATACATTACTTAAGGGAAAAAGAGAGGGAATATTTGATGTATTGATTGAATTATGTATATATGTTTTGTCTGCGGATGTTTGACCACCCTAACACCACGGTGTGTCTTGAGTACTTTGTTTTAAAAATCAAAAAACCAATAAAACTTGTCTTAAAAAAATAAAAATAAATATGAATCGGTGGCCAAGTGTCTGGAGTTTGACCATGGGGATGCTGCAATGGTCATTAAGTGTGAAAAATGATCGTACGTCACTTCTTTCAGCGCCGCTGTAACTTTGAACGGTCACTAAACAAACTGCTGTAAGTTGAGGAATACTGTAGATTTGGGATACAATACGCTACAATCCCGAAGAATCCTTACCGGGCTGAGGCGTTTCCTTGCGCACATGTGTGTCTTCGATTGCTCCAATGCCAGCACTGAACATGATGGGCTTGATCCACTCATGCCGCTCACCGTCTCCCAGGCGCATTCCGAAAGAGCGTGCGAACCCTAGCCCAAGGAAGACGGTTGAATTTAAACAATTGCCCTTTCCCACGCAATCTTGCACATCCCTCTAGTTCAGTGTTTCCCAACCATGGCGGGTTGAAGGTGCATGGTCTTCAACTCCCAGAATCCCCAGCCAGCCCAACCTTGGTGGCTTGAAGATGCGTGGACTTCAACTCCCAGAATTCCCCAGCCAGCTCAACCATGGTGGCTTGAAGATGCGTGGACTTCAACTCCCAGAATTCCCCAGCCAGCCAAACCTTGGTGGCTTGAATATGTGTGGACTTCAACTCCCAGAATTCCCCAGCCAGCCCAACTTTGGTGGCTTGAATATATGTGGACTTCAACTCCCAGAATCCCCAGCCAGCCCAACCTTGGTGGCTTGAAGATGTGTGGACCAACTCCCAGAATTCCCCAGCCAGCCAACCATGGTGGCTTGAATATGTGTGGACTTCAACTCCCAGAATTCCCCAGCCAGCCCAACCTTGGTGGCTTGAATACGCGTGGACTTCAACTCCCAGAATCCCCAGCCAGCCCAACCTTGGTGGCTTGAAGATGTGTGGACCAACTCCCAGAATTCCCCAGCCAGCCAACCATGGTGGCTTGAAGATGTGTGGACTTCAACTCCCAGAATTCCCCAGCCAGCCCAACCTTGGTGGCTTGAAGATGTGTGGACTTCAAATGAATTCTGGGAGTTGAAGTCCATGCATCTTCAAGCCATCGAAGTTGACAAACACTATTCTAGTTCCTCTGCCCCTTCCCATGCGTCAGCAGCCAGCATCTTTTCACTAAACAAATCACAACTTCAAACACACTTCAGTTTGGATCTCAGCAGCAAGCCACCATCAAGCTCACCTGCCAGCACAGGTTCCCCAAATTTGTTGCCGTAGTCCGAAGCTCCATCGCTGGCACCAATGGCTATTTCCACAGGCCGTGCAAAATTATCAGGGTACACGAAAGATGCATCTTCCCAAGGTAAGGTATATCCTAAAAGGCAGATGTAAAACAGAATTATTTCTTTTCCAGAGCTAAGTAACATTCAGATCACCTTTCTTGCACCTGTTTTTAATATTCCTTGCAGTCGTCTGGTCGTTAGTACTCTTTCTGAGAGTAGTTGAGTGGCCTCCAAGTGGCCTCAACTGACTCTCAGAGAGAGCACTAATGATTTGGTCCCGTTGCTGACGAAGATTGAACTAGAAGATCAAACCTCAAACTATGTATTGTGTTTATGCATTGTTTGATGTAACACTTGCTTATTTCCGTTATAATTGTGCATGTTTATATTTACCTTATAGTTATGCATGTTTTGATACCATATTTTTGCCTATTTAGTCACTGGTTAGTTAACAATGAGAATTGCATGCCTTAATGTTATGTCTTTTTTGCTTGTTTCAGTTAGCTAGTAGTGGAAATTTAAATTTCCAAGCGGGGAGTGTTCTGGACCATGTAGTTCTGTATGTTAGAATATTGGCATTTATTGGGTTAAGTGCTGTCTCCTTAAGAGATGGCTTATGGGAAATGTAGTTTAGCTAGTCAGCTATCTCATGTTATCAGGTATGTGGGAGGAGTTACTGAGCTCAACACAGGATTTCCTGGACACAAGCCAGTTTGGAATTTCTTTGTCTCAGAAAGCATGGGGTCACCGGCATGTCTCCGATGACCCCAATTCACGATGTAGAAGTGATATGGAGAAAGCATTAATTTCTCACCTATGGGAATGAACAGAGATGTATTGTCCAGAAGAAACCAACACAAATGCAAGTATTTCCTCTGAATACATATTTATCTGTTTTGCAATCATTTCTATTGAGTTTATCTGCCTGACCCAGTTTTACAACTGCAAGGAATATGAATCCTTCCATTCCCCACCACTCAGTCAGAATTGAAGAAGTTTCTTGGATGAGAAGCGAAACGCCTTCAAGAAAAAACAAAGGAAGTTCAGTTGCCTTTTGAAAAAGCACCTTTGAGACACTCACCTGGAATGTGTAAATTGCCAAAGCTGTATCCGGCAGTTCCAGCAATTACGTGAGCCCCACGACCTGTGCACTGAACATCCCGGATTCTCCCACCGGTCCCAGTGGTGGCACCACTGAATGGAGCAACGCCTACAAGGGAAAGAGAAATTGCAAACAATGAGCCCTGCAAACGATAAAGGAGGATATTTGTAGCTCAGATTGGAAATGAGGGGTCCTTGGTGTTCTTGAGCTTGTTTGTTTTCTTGCAGACGTTTCATTAGTCAAACTTGGTAACCTCATCAGTGCTAGTCACTAACACAGCACTGCATTGGCACTTGTGACGTTATCTAGTTTGGGTAATGAAACTCATGAGGTTACCTGGTTTGGGCAACAAAACAACCAAGCTGAGAGCATCAGGGACCCCACTGTCTTCCTCCTCCTCCTTTCCACAAACTCCACTCCCTTCTCGTACTGATGATGTTACCTAGTTTGGGTAATGAAAGTCTGAAAGAAAGCAATAAGCTCAGAGAGCATCAGGGATCCGGTTGGATTACCTGGGGTATAGAATATCAGGGATATAGAATGCATGCAAAATGAAAGTCAGCACTGGGAGTGGTTTGCTCCCAGTCCCTTACATAGATGTGCCCCCACCCCGCCCCGCCCTCCAACCCCACCCCAACAGGCGAATCCCAGAAAGCTCTGCAGCTGGCGACGAGTGCGGGGCGCCTGCCAGTCCAACACTGCTCTCACCTTGTGGGGGTCCATTTCCACACCGGTCCGCATGCATTGGCTTGACCTGTTCTCAAAACAGGCCCATTTCATCCCGTGCAAGGGGCTACCATCAGCCTAGCGGGACTTTATCCAGTATATAGGATCGTCCCAAGGTCTCAGCTCGGCATACCACCCCAGCACCAACGGAGCGGCTGAGCGGGCGAATGCCATGGTGGAACGCTACTTACGAAGCTACGTCTCCTACCAGCAAACAGACTGGGCTGATTTGTTGCCGTTTGCAACAAATGTAAGGCACTGAGAGCAAACCACTCCCAGTGCTGACTTTCATTTTGCATGCATTAAATTCTTGCTGGTCACTTTGTTCCTGTGTTTCTGGAGTTTGTTGGCAGCAGACAGAGGACATTTGACAGTACCTCAGTTTTTCTCCTGCAGCTGTACATTTCCACCCCAGGCCACCCCAACGATGCCCTTGACGTGATGACCCGTTGCCTGGAGGCCGTACGGGTCTGGATGGGGAGGAACAGACTCAGGCTCAACCCTTCCAAGACTGAGTGGCTGTGGCTGCCGGCGCCTCGGCATAGTCAGCTGACCCCATCGCTGACTATAGGGGGCGAAATTTTGGCCCCC